AAAAAATTGAAAGAAAGTCAAGCATGTTGTTGTAAGCTATTGTCTCGAGAGACTGTTAAAAGATTTATGCATTTTTCTGGAAGACGATTTGTGTTTTTTGAGACTCTTTGTATGTTTGCGTATATCGGCTTCATTTTTTTTCTTACTTTTTTTTTAATGGATTTAAAACTGCAATTGATTTTGGTGATTTGGAAATGTTTTTGGGATGGATTTAAAAAAAGCGAAAAAATAAAAAAAATCGATATATTGCTGTTAAAAATGAATATATTTATCGTTGAAGCCTCGAGGACATGAAGGCTTTTTTGGGGTTGGCAAGCGTTTTTGCTGTTGCTGCTGCTGATGCTGTTGCTGGTGGTGGTGGTGGTGGTGGTGGTGGTGCTGGTGCTGGTGGTAGTTGACTGACTGAGTGGAGAGCATTTTTATAGAATGGTAAATAGCTTTGAAAAACAAAATTGATCACATCTTTTATTTTCATCAAAATTTTACTTATCGATTTTCGAATGCAATCAAGCACTCTGTAGCTTTAGCATTTTATTTCTTTTCCTTCTAAGCTATCCAATGAAAATCAAAAGCACTTCACAAAAACATAAAACTTATTCTGTGAACGGATGCATCAAATTATTTTGGGTCATCAGTAGTAACTGCAGTTAAACTATCATCGTGATCGAAGCTGTCGACAGAGATGATAACAGGAACTACAACAGCTGCAGCAGTGAATTAACTATTGGTCAAAAATATCTATAAATGTGGGGAAAACTGATGACGTTTTTGTATGTGGAATAGAATCTGAATATGGTCGTTATAATCTTGAGAGAAAATAGAAAACAGTTGTTAGATTATTGATTCTTTTTGTGCAAATTAACGGTTTACCAGGTTATTCATCTGTTGGTTTTTTGTTAATTTAGAAATATTGAAGAATATATAACTTATTTTTTCCGAACATATAACTACATTAAAATGAGATAGCAAGGATTCTTAGATTAAAATTGAGGTTTTATAGAGGATGATTAATTTTTCAGTAGAGATTTGTTTTATGTAGCTAAAAAAAAAGAAATGTATTAACACATGATTTTATTTGCCAAATAAGGCGAAAGAACTTTATGAGCATTGTTTGAAAATTAACTGTTAAATTGTTGTTGGATAAAAGCGACAAGTGAATGACTGACTGAGTGACTGAATGAATGAATGAATGAATGAATGAAGGAACACAGACGTAGTTAACAGGGATTTGTAACCTTGAACTGCTATTGCAGCTGTTTCTAATAGAAGTAACTCATACGTCGTTATATTAAAAAACAGATCAGTAACTAATATTTTATGGCAGCAAAAAGCTTTTTATATTGAAATCATTTAACATTTATTGCGAACACTTTTTTCTATCAGTTTTTCATCATACTTGTTTAATTGGCTTTTTTGTCTTTTTTTTTTTTGTCTTTAAAACATTGTCATAAGTTGGTTGATGTTGCCTAAAAGAATTGCAAAATTGCATAGCGGTCTTGCGCAGCAAAAAAAGGCTATTTGTTTTATTACTTCTATTCAACAGTAAATATTTGGTTAATTTTAAAAGAATATAAAACTAACAGATTGAAATCGAACAAACAAAAAAAATTTTTTTTGATGTAAATCGTTAAATTTTATGGACTTATCAACAGCAGAAGTTTTTCTCAAATTTATGTTAACATTTTGAATACATTACTTAAAGTTTGGTAAAGAACAATTTGAATTGCTGCTTGAATTTGCTTTCTTTTTTTTGGAAACTATAGTTGAAAATTTATTGAGACTGGTTTTTGAACTTTTCTTCCTTCTTCGTGTTTCCTGTGATTAAGTTGTCCACTGTTGTTGTTCGGTAACTTGTGGATTTTGAATCGTATGAACTGTTTGCATAAACCAAGCTAACTATTTGATGAAAAGTTTTTTCTTGTCAATAAAACTAATAATTATTTGCAATCTTTAGATTAGGCTTGATGAAGAGATAAAAGCAATTGGTATTAGACAAGATGAAGGCGACGAAGGGAAACGATTATTACTTCGAGAGAGCACAACATTTCGAGAAAATACTGATAAGGTCTGATAAGCTTTATTTTTTAAATTCTGTTTTTTCTTTATTTTCATATTGAATTAAGTGAAAAAAATAGTAGTAACTTTCATGCTAAGTGTAATTTATTTGAAAAGAAAAAAAAACCAGTGATAAGTCTTTGATGAACAAACAAGCTTTGTTTGCAGTTCTCTTCTTCCTCTCTTCTTTTATTGCTGTCTTTG